TATAATATTAATAAGTTATAATATTAATAATTTATAATTTTAATAAGTTACAAATGAAAAATAATATTATTATGTTTATAAAACTTATATTTTTATGTAAATTTTTATAAGTTAGAAGATAAAAAATAATATTGTTATAATTTAAATAAAAATGAAAATAATTTTATGTTTATATAATTTATTTTTTAATAGAATTGGTAAATTTTAATAAGTTAGTTAATATTAAATATATTTATTAATATTAAAATTTAAATAATGACATTTATCAAACTTAAAACTCATTACAACAAAAAAAAAATCAATGGTAGCAGGAACTAAATGCATGATCAATATTTGGACATGTCTTCCTAGTGTGACTAGGGGTGTGACAATAAGAACAATTTTTTACACAATTATGTTGTTCTCTAATGTCCATCTCTATTCTAATCTTGTTGGACTTGGGGCGACCCTTGGAATTTCGTTTGAGTTCCGGATTTGGCCACAAAGTTGGGTCAGTGTAAGTAGGTCAATAATCTGTGTCGAAGCTCTCTAAATTGTCCTTTGTATACCTTTAAAACTTGTTGTAAGGTATATATGAGAGATATGTAGCTTTCAAAGTTTTGGCGTGCATGTAAGCATGAAACAAGTACATGCAAGCAACAGATATGAACTTTCTAGAACTTGCCACAATCATGCCACATCTCATCTAGCCTTACTATAAATCTCCTAGTGGGTTGAACTTCTCCTGGATGTTGGGTTTCTTCCACTAAAAATCTAGTGCTTGATCCGTCAAAGGTGATGACTCTATGAGTGTTTGCCTTTGATTGTGCATCTTGAATAGTTTTAGTTGCAATCTCCGAGTAGACATGTCCAATATTAATCATTGCATCCACTTCCTTGTCTCTCTCAACGAAGAACTTGTTGTAATAGATGTATGTCGCTATTACCATGGGACAAATTGGCAGGTTTCTTGTTTTCTTCAAGATTAAATTAATAGACTTTGCTAGGTTTGTTGTCATGTGTCCCTAGCGTCGTCCAATGTCCCATGCCTGCATCCATTTTTCCTTTGGAATGTTGTCCAACCATTGTGCTGCTTCAGCATTATTATCCCTTACTATGTTGTAATAATAAAAGAATATAGGTTCAATCATCTCATATGCTGCAAAAAAATTATTAATTAAATTATGAAAACTAAGTAAGAAAGTTTTAAAAAAATATTAATGATAATATAGAGTACAAGAAAAAAGAAAATTACTCATGTTGACGACATCCTTCTTCAATGTTGCATTTTTGTATCGTCGCATGAAATTATGTGTAATGTGACTATGAAATAGACATGGACAAAATTATTTTTTGTCCAACCACTTCCATTTTTAGAGTATGCAAAAGGCAAAACCATCAATGCATGGTTTGAAGGTCCAAAATAACCTTTTGAAGAAAACACCCCCTTCCTCCAATAAGCCACCTTGGCATGTTATTGCGCATTTAATTTTTAGATGAAGCCTGAAACATACATTTGCATTACTTGCAACATACCTGGTAACTTGTTGTATAACTCCTCCCATTTTCCAAAGATGTTTTCAATGGCATGTTCCTTCCCTAGTCATCCGTTTCTATAGCTGATTGTCTAACCCATCATGAACTTGAACTGGGCTATGATGGTTAAGATGGGTGTGGATGGATCAACCTCAATAATTTCAGGAATGGTTTGAGAAATCATTCGTGATCCCAATTTATTATGATCTTGTGAGATGAGTGGGGAAACACATGTGTGGGGGCCTTTAAGAATCATGATTTCCCAGTGTTTCTCTCTGGTGCACAATATAGCACGACATCTCTAGGCACAATCATGATAAATGCATTCCATGACAAGCCTAGTTGTGCTTGACAACTTAACCTTGTAAGTGTAGTGATTTACAATGTGAAATCTATTTATGGCATCTTACACTTATTTTTTGTTTGGAAGCATTAGCCAACAAAGACTGTTCCAGGTGAATACATAACCATTTCACATTTAAAGACATGGCTATACTTAGGGTCATCTTGTTGGATTTGATTGGGGAAGTCTAAAAATTGTGCAAGTGGGTTGTATATGGGTAATGGTTCTGTTGGTGGAATATTTGGAATTAAGAGGGTTTCTTCCTCATCATCATCTTCATGTTGGGAGAGGATTTCGTCTTCGTCCTCACTAAAAGGATCAAAGACATTTTCTATTGGGAGACCAACAACAACATGTTCTTCAATGGTGTTTTGTACATTTGGTTGAGAAAGAAAGGGTATAGCTTGTTCAAATAGCTGTTCATTAAGGTCCATGAATGGACTAGTTAAAAGTTGTGTGTATGACTAAATGTTGTATTCGAAGGGGATATCATATGAAGGACCAGATGGGTTTGTGTTTTGGTAAGTTTGGTAAATTTCGTAAGGTAAAAGTTGTAGTGCATGTGATTCATTTGTGGTAAAGGTAGCATATAATTCAATACCTAATTGGAGTTGATTAGAATCGTGAATATTGAAAAGTGCCTCAACGTCTTCATCATTAGTCAACTTAACATAGGTGTAATTACTAACCCCTGAACCAAGTCTAATAGGGTAGCGAAAATGTATGGTAACCACCCTTTCATTATCTTGTTTTATATGGATGACTCCCTAGAGCCTT